AGGTATCAATGGGGAATCATCACTGAATAGGGGTATCTCTAGTAAGGTTATAAGGGGATCAGTACTACACCTGACACTGTTCAACATTTTTATCAATGATCTGGAAGTAAATATAAAATCACTTCCAATACATTTGTGAATGACAGACTGACAGAACGGTAAATAATAATGAGACCTACAGAGCAATTTGCATCGCTTAGTAAGCTGGGCCCATTCAAACAAAACATGTTTTAATACACCCAAACATTAGGTCATACATCTACAGGGAAAAAATGCAGGCCATACCTACAGAACAGATGACTATGTCCTGGAAAACGGTGATTCTGAAAAAGAATTAGGGGTCACAGTGGACAAGCAACTCAACATGAGCTCCCACTGAAGAGTGATGCTGTGGCAAAAAGAACTAATGCAATCTTTAGATATACAAGTGGAGTAGTAAGTAGGAGTAGGGAAGCAATTTATGTCTGTCTATTATCAGAGGGGTAGCCGTGTTCGTCTGTATTCACAAAAACAACGAGGAATCCAGTGGCAGCATAAAGACTAACAGATTTATTTCAGCATAAACTTTCGTGGGTCAAAAACCCACTTCTTCAGATTCAGGCTTTTTTACCCACGAAAGCTTATGCCCAAATAAATCCATTAGCCTTTAAGGTGCCACCGAACTCCTTGGGGTTTTTATGCTTGTCTATGGCATCACTGAGACCAATACTAGAATACTGCGTACATTTCTGGTGTGCATATTTTAAAAAGGACCTTGAAAAATTGGAGTGGGTGCAGACAAGAGGCACAACAATAATTTGATGGCTGGAAAAAATGCCTTAAACGTGAGACTTAAAGAGCTCAATGTATTCAGTTTATCATAAAGAAGACAAAGGTGACTTGATTGCAGTATGTAAGTATCTTCACAGGGAAAAAAATATGGGGTACTATAGGACTCTTCGGTATTGCAGAGAAAGGCATAATAAGAACCAGTGGCTGGAAGCTAAAGCCAGACAAATTAGAAATAAGGCACATTTAACAAACAAAAACAGTGAGGGTGAATAACCATTAGAACAAACTATCAAGGGAAGTGGTGAATTCTCCTTCTCTTGATATCTTCAAATCAAAACTGGATGTCTTTGTGGAAGATATGGTACCATCAAACAAGATACTGAGCTCAATAAAAGTAGCTGGTTGAAATGTAACGGTCTCTTATGTACAGGAGGCCAGACTAGATGGCCTTAAACTCTATGCATCTATGTACTGGGCTCCTTAGACTCTACCAATCAATATTTAGCCATGTTCCAGACTGCACAGAGCAAAAATCTCTTCATTTAGAAATTACTGAATAGTATAGTATAGCCTGTGCTAAGCAGTGGAACTGATATCCAGAGAAAGATAATTCTTACCTCATCTTTTCAATTCTTTCAAATTTGCACCATGTGCTAAAGATTAAAACTATTATTTTTCCCTCTCTACAGCTTACTGAAAATAAAATACTCACACAAAATGCAGATCAGCAGCTGTTTTATGACTTATTAGATGTACTGTATTAGGAAACAGATTCCACTTCAGATTTCATTATATAGTTTATGTTTTAAACTCTTCCTATTCAGACAATGATCAGTTACCATTTCATCAACCTAAAAATAATGTAACATTCTTTTTTGTAATGTAACTAATCTTTTAAAGACTGTTTCCCCATCCCCAATATCTGGCACTGTATTTCCCTTTAAGTACATTTCTACTTTCAGCACAAATCGCCCTAACTCAGCTGTTTATAAAGAAACCTTCCTCTCTACTTAAATGTGAGGTTTCCATATGCAGTACATCATATTCAATCTAGGAGAAAACAAGCATGGAACACCAGACCAAACTTCACAAAGCTACACTATCAAGCTCTAAGAGTGGAAATATCTGTAGGAAACTTACTACAACTTTCACATACAACAACAACAAAATTATTTAGTAACTGATTATTTCAGATGTATGAAACAGACGATCAAATTTTACTATTTTGTGTATATGCATTATACCATTTCATCTATTCTTATTCATTCCAAACAATATTTAAGTTGCATCTATTCTAGAAAGAGGGCGTGCATGTGACAAAATTATGCCCTTTACTATAAAAAATAAGTCCTAATAGTCTATTCAATACACCAGAACAAGGTAAGAGGTTATGTCTCATTTATTGCATAAGCTGATCTAACTACATTATACCGGTGTAAGTTTACAAAATGCATAAACTATGCTAAACTATTGTCAAGCAGACACTGGTCTTAATTTTGCATCATGCAATTTTTATTCAAGATCACATTAAGAACTGCACTTTTACAATATCTATCCTCCCAAGTCCAAGGACAAAAAATAATGAGTTTAAAAGCTGAAAATAAAGTGTGAAAAAAAAAAATCAGCCAGCATTAAGTATTAACCTGATGAGTTTTTCAGATCTGCTGTACTATTTTAAACTACTCTTTCTGGCCATAGGTCAAAGTTTTCCGAATGAAATACCAACATGAAAATGCTGGGAGTGAAGCCCGGAGGCAGCTCTCTTTGCTTTGGCCTAGGTTAAACCCTATCAGAGCCCAGCGAAATCAGTAGCACTATTTCCCACCCTCTCCACCAAGTATCATGGATGACAGTACACCGGCTCTGAGTATCCATGACAGGAATAGCACAACTAGAGGCATGAAAAGAACTTAATACACATTACAGGAGATCCCTACATCCTCCCCCTCCCTACTCCCCAGCACAGACACACACACACACACACAGTTCACTCAGTTCCTGTACTTTAGCCAAACATGACTGAGTCATTTTTGCAAACGAGTCCCATGGCCTCTCAGAATAAGTGCCTACAATGAACAACTCTTGGAACATAGAAAGAAAAAAAATCCAAACCTTTCACTCAGGCTGCAGGCACTAGGACTTCTCCGCCTCAGAACACTATTCTGACAGATATCAGAGGGGTAGTCGTTTTAGTCTGAATCTGTAAAAAGCAACAGAGGGTCCTGTGGCACCTTTAAGACTAACAGAAGTATTGGGAGCATAAGCTTTCATGGGTAAGAACCTTGAGGTTTTGCTCCCAATACTTCTGTTAGTCTTAAAGGTGCCACAGGACCCTCTGTTGCTTTTTATTCTGACAGAGAAGATCTGATGCCTGGTAAAAGCACTGAGACTCCCCCTCACCATCTTTCTAGGGCTTACATGATTCAAATGGGGAGATCACACTCCCTTTCCAATCCTTCTTGGAGGCATGGGTTTCCCTGGAAAGGAAACAGCACTTCATACTCAAATAAGGAAAAAATGCTATATTACAAAAGGCAGAGAGAAATTTATTCACCCTAACGGGAAATAAGTGTCCCCGTTATATCCCCAAGATACATTTCTTTCCTAGGCGTGTTCTTTTCCTGCACTGTTTCTACATCATGCTCCAGGCCGCAAGTCTCATCTTTAACTTCAGAGTAATTGAGTGTGGTTTAGTTTGGGGGCCCCGAGGAGGAGGAAGCACACACCTGGACACTACATAGGGGGGAAATGTATTTGCTTCCAATTCTCAAAATAATCTTAGAGTCCATGCTTAATACCAGATTGAGTAAATTAAGTGCAAATAAAGCTAATGGAAAGGAGCTCTCTGCCCCCATCCAAAGGCATTTCCCTCATCATCCAAGAAAGGCGCCCTCTCAGCCAACCCTCAGCCAGTCAAGCAGGAAGCACTCCATAGCCCCCCACCCCCAACACACATACACAAAGTTCACTGGGGGGGGGGGGAGGAGAATAGTTCTCTACCATCCCGCTCCTGCCCAACGCCAGCCAGCCATCAAGAGCACATTTTCACCATCATGGCCTTCCCTCATTATCCCAAGGGGGGATCGCACCAACAGCCTCCCAAATTCATTCCAAGGGAGAACACTCACCATCCCTTTCAAAGACATCAAGTGAGAGCTCCCCCCAACCCACCCATCGGGAAGTACTCTCTCTCTCCCCATTCTTCCCCCCAACACACACACAACCCCTCAGCCAAGGGGGCTGTGAGTATGCACCCCGCTGAGAGGGGACATCTACCAAAAACCCATCCACGTTTGAGTGAACCGTTGCCCTCCGAACAAGCCAAGGGGAGCGCTGTTTATCATCCCGCCCAGCCAGTCCGTCCATCGATCGATCCATCCCCGGGAGGGGGAGGCTCCCGCGACCCCTATTGTGCCTGGGGTGGGTCTAACTCACCAGCAAACTTTCCACATTGACTGGGGACCGAGGGTCTCGGATCATGGACTCCAGCTTCCTCTGGCGGCTCGTGGTCACCCCCTCCCCGGGCTCCAGGGGCGCAGGCGGGGGGGGAGCGGACATCTTCGCTGTCTGAAGCTGGCTCATCCTCCCCCTCCCCGCGGGGCTGTGCGAGCGGCGAGCTGCCGGGCAGGAGGAGATCACTCTGTAGCCGGCCCCGGTCTCCGCTCCGGGGCCTAGCGCTGCGGAGAAGCTGGGGGCTCCCGGCCGGGCCTGGGCCCTGTCTCAGGAGCAGGGCGGGGAGCAGAGGGGACGCTCCCCGACTGGGCGCTGCTGAGGCTGCTCCGCCCCTGGGCACCTCTCAGCTGCAAAGGCATGAACAGCGCGGAGCCGGGGCGGGGGGAGAGAGATTCCCGCGGCGGTCCCGACTCCCCCCCCGCTCAGGGCGGCTCTGGGCGGGCACCGAGTCACTGCCGGGTCCCCGGCACCGGCCCGGCCATTGCACCAGTCAAACACCCGCCGCGGCGGAGGGAAAGCGGCGGGCGGCGCTCGAGGCCGGCTCCCCTCCTCCGGCGGCGGCTGGGCGGGAGAAGCGACTCCCGGCGGCGGCGGCGTGAGGCTCGCTGCTGCCCCTCTCTCGCCGTGTCACTCAGTCCATGGGGCGGCCGCCGCCCGCAGCGAGTCACTGTCCCTGCCGCTGCCTCCCGCCGCCCCCATTCTCCGGCTCCCGCCCCTCAGCCTGACACCCAGCAGCCGGCCTCCCTTACCCACAAGCCTCCGCTCCGAGCGGCCGGACACGGCGCCCCGCGCAGAGGACACATAGCTCCGCGCTCGCTCATTGCCTAACTATACCCCTCAGCTCAGCTGGCGGGGCGGGGAGTGGCGCCGAGCGGCGGCCCGCCCGGGGACAGCGCTGTGTCACCCCCAAAAGCGGGCACTGAGCAGCTTTCCCGGCCGCCTCCGGCTGCCCTCAGCCCGGCCAAAATAGCAGGGTGACCCGCCCTGTCGTCATCGCCTCCTCCTGAGTCAGCGTGTGAAGAAGGAAGGCGGCGAACCCAGCACGTGGAGGGGTCGGTGAGGGGGGCACAAGCTTCCTATCTCATCAGTGGTGTGTATATATGTATGTACCAACTGGTCCTATAAAGCCCTAGACATGTTCTATAATAATTGGATGGTGACTCCAAACCAACCCTCACCCCCCTCCCCGCAACCCAAGGTGCAGCTCAAGAACCCTCTGTGCACGTGGTGCCATCCCTGCAAGGGGTTGACCTGGAGCTGACGGCTCCCAAACTGCATGGATGTTAAGAACCTAAGAGCAGGTGTAGTGGGTCGGACGAATGGTCCGTCTAGCCCAGTATCCTGTTGTCCTACAGTGGCCAGTATCAAATGCTTCAGAAGGAATGAACAGAACAGGCAATCATCAAATGATCCATCCTCTGTCACCCACTTCCAGTTCCTAGCAAACAGGCTAGCGCCACTCAGAGCATGCAGTTGCATCCCTGACCATCTTGACTAGTAACCACTGATGGACCTATCTTCTGTGAACTTATCTAATTCTTTTTTTAACTCATACTTTTGGCCTTCACAGTATCCCATCGTAGCAAGTTCCACAGGCTGACCATGTGTTGTGTGAAGAAGTACTTCCTTTTGTTTGTTTTAAACCTGTTGTCTATTAATTTCATCGTGACCCTTAGTTCTTGTGTTATGTGAAGTGATAAATAACACTTCCATATGAATTTGTTCATACCAGTCATGATTTTATAGACCTCTCTCAGATCCCCCCCTTAGTCATCTCTTTTCTAAAATGAACAGTTTCAATCTTTAATCTCTCCTCATATGGAAGTTCATCCCCAGTGTAGAACTATTCATATGGACAAGAAACTCCAACTAGTACAAAAGGCAGCACATATCCTCAGTAACACAGACTATTGTGAGTGCATCAGACCTGTCCTCTCTCTATACTGGCTTCCCATCTAAATTTCAATCAACTTTAAGGTTTCAGTCCTGATCTTCAAAGTGCTGTGTGGCCTGGGCCCACAATACCTAAATGACTGTTAAAGCTCTGGGAAAGGGGCATTAGCAGGAATTTAAATATGAACACTTTTGGGGGGCACAGAAACTCGCTGTCTCCCTTTCCCCTCCCCAGCCAAACTCCCCTCACCCCCGCCCCTCCTCCCCTTCCCCTGAGCGCGCTGCGTCCCCACTCCTCTGCCTATCTCCCAGCGCTTCCCACCCAGCTGCCGCTGCCAAACAGCTGTTTGGCAGCGTTAGCACGCTGTGGGGGGAGGAGCGGGAACCTGGTGCGCTCAGGGGAGGAGGCGGGGCTGGGACAGGGATTTGGGGAAGGAGTTGGAATAGGGGCAGGGAGGGGGCAGAGTTGGGGCAGGGACTTTGGGAAGGGGTTGGAATGGGGGTGGGGCCTCATGGAAGGGGTGGAGTGGGGCTGGGGCTGGCGGGGGGGTCGAGCACCCAGGGGAAAGAGGGGAAGTCGGCACCTATGCAGGGGCCGGAGAAGTTCTGTGCCCCCAATGATTACTGAGGGGAGATGCACCTGCTTGCCCCCCAGAATTATCAACTCTGGTCTTCATCCCACATGCCCCTACTCCGGGATGAAGACCAGAGTTGATAACTTTGTTCATCTGGCACAGTGGAACTGTCAACAATAAGGCTATGGCTACACTAGAGAGCTTACAGAGGCGCAGTTTAACTAATGCAGCGGTACTGCTATAAGCTCTCTGTGCAGCCACTCTAAACCGACATCAGCTTAATTACTCCAATCCCCGCAAGTGGCAGTAGCTATGTCGGCGGGAAAAGCTGTCCTGCCGACATAGTGCTGTCCACACCGGTGCTTAAGTCAGCGTAAGTTATGTCACTCAGTGGGGTGGCTAATTCACACCCCTGAGCGATATAATTTATCTCGACTTAAGCTGTAGTGTAGCCATAGCCTAAGAGTAAATCTCTTCTGTGTGAGAGACAGAACCTTCTCCAGAGTTAATCTGAGATTGTGGAATGAACTTCCTTAGGAACTAAGAACTATCACAAACCTCACCACTTTCCATTTCCATGTGCAAGGCACATTTCTTTTACCTTGCCTTCTCTATTATAAACTCCTAGCAACAGGTATATGTAACTAAAACACAAAAAAAACCCTTATCAAAACAAGAGACTCCTCTCCATACACTTCTTCTACAAGAGAAGGATAAGAGAACAGATGTATAATCATGTTGCTTAATGCAATATTGGAAGGTTCTTAGATACTACAATGATGAGCATAGTATAAAAATCTAAAGAGAATAAAGTAGGTTGAGCCAGAATGTGCTGGGAACTGAACAACCACAAACTGGGGGGAAGTTTGGGACAGCTGGCCTATTATTTATTTGTATTGTGTTATCTTGAGGCCACCAATCAAAGATTGTCCCCATTGCACTAGGTAGGCACTGCATACACATAACATGACAGCCCATGCCCTGAGAACTTACAATCTATGTATAAGTTGAGAGAAAACAAATAGAGAGGGGAGCACAAGATAACAGTAAGATGATGGTGATCAATCATATAAGCGGTGGTCACAGCAAACCAGGTGCCTAATCATGGCATAGGTGGGTTTTAAAAGTGGTTGTGGCCTTGCAGATTTTTACAGGGAGCTTCCCCGCGTGTACAAGAGTGAGTGTGGGAGAAAGCACGAAGGTGCTCATTGGGAAATTTGACAGATGGGCACTCCAGGCTGGCATCCTGGACATAGCAAAGGCAGGGGTTGTTGTTTCCATAGTGTGTTAGATAAGAGATTAAAGTAAGGGATGGAATAGTTGGTGAAGAGCCTTAAAATTGAAGACCAGTAGCTTGTGTTTGATGTACTATAAGGGGAAGCAATGGACGGGTACAAAGAGGGGGGTGATGTGGCAAGTCAGAAAGATTATTTTTGCAGCAGCATTTTGTATAAATTTAAGATGGCATTAGATGAGAAAAGAAGAGGTTATAGTCAGGAAGCAAGATAATGAGGGCCTGGCAAAGAATTTTAGCTATGTGGATAGAAAGGAAATACTGGGTCTTACAGATGATGTGTAGGAAGAAGTGGTAAGATTTAGACACAGCCTGGATGCATTAGATCTAGAGGAAGGGACAAAATAAAGACTAAGCTGATATTACTGTCATGGGTGTCAGTGGTCACAGTGACTGAGAAAGGTCGAAGAACTTAGTGGGGAAAGATCAAGAGTCTGGTTTTGGTTATGCTGAGCTTGGTTGACAGCTGGGTATCCATGAAATGATGTCAGAACGACAGGCTAATATTTTAATTTAGACAGAAGGAGACAGGTCCAAAATGGACAAGTAGATCTGTGAGTCACTTGCATGGTTTTGAATAAGATCATCCTATACAATATTCTAAGTCAGAGCCCTGGAGCCAAACAGTCCCAGATTATGGGGAAGTTCAGATCTGAATTTCACAGCTAGATTCTATAGTAATCTGATCCAAACCCTGAATCTCACACACATAAAAACCTCTGAACTTTGTGAAAGACCAAAATCCAAATTTAATGGTTCAAGCCTGTATGTAATTGTAACACCTTTATAATATTGTAAGAGTTCTTTGAGAAAATACGTGAAAAAATATTGATTGAAATGTATTATTATTATATTATTTATTATTTAATAATATATTAGAGTAATGCCCACTCCGCAGTTAGGCTCCAGACCCATTGTTCTGGGTACTGTTCAGAAACACATGAGAAGATATAGAATTTAGCTCAAAGAGCTTTAAATCTAATTTGAGACAAGACACAACGAGTAGGTGTAACAAGTAGGACTGAAGGGGTTGGAGGGATAGTGGGTTAACAAGAAGTTAGGTTAGCTGTTCAATAGCTTGATAGTTCTAAATCATCTGAAAGATTTTTTAATAAATACATCTGCTATTCCCAACTACTACACAGCCTAGTCATAATTGGTTGGCTGATTTCCTGTAGGCATCACATCAGAAATGTATTTTTAGAGGGGATTTTAAATTAATTGAACAAAAGACTAAAAAATGTATTGTAGGGAACAAGTCTGTAATAGTTAGTAGTATAGAGCATCAGAAGCCTGATCCAGAGTCCGTTAAACTCAATGGGAATATGTCTATTGATTTCAGTGGCCTTTGAATCATGCCCCAGACTGAGAGTCAAGCGCCTGGACTCTATTCTGAGCATTCACAGGGTATGTCTACACAGCAAGCTGCAGCCCACAACAGTGAGTCTCAGAGCGTGAGTCTATAGACTCCGGCTTGCAGGGTGCACATTATGGCACTAAAAATAACTGTGTAGCTGTTCAGACTCAGGTTGGTTTTTGAAGCCCAACCCCCTCACTAGGCTTCAGGACCCAAACCCAAATGTCTACACAGATATTTTTAGCCCCGTAGTGTGAGCCCAAGTCTGTAGACCCAGGCTGTGAGACTTGCTGCCACAGTCTGCTGCTTGCTATGTAGACATACCCACCTTGACAAGTTGCATATCTGTGCCTGTTTCCTTATACTTATTAATTTTTGTAAAGAACTTTGAGATCTCCAGATGAAAAGCACTTTATAAATGCTAAGTCTTCTTATTTATCACTTCCTCTAGCTCAGTATGTTAAAATGATTAAGTTAAAAAATCAGCCAAAGTCATAGTAATCGGTCATTTTCCTATTCCAATGTTAGTTGGTTGAATGTTATAGCTGGGTAGGATCTGAAGAAACAATTTCTTGATGCTGTATCATTTCATTAATTTATACAGCATCTGTTGCTTTGCAACAAGGTGCATTAAACACAACATAATTTTCAAAACCCATACATTTCCGAAGCAACCCTCAGTAAGAGTGCCACTACCATATCAATCACTAACACAGGCCAGATATAAAAATATTAAACCACCCAAATCAAATATATAATTAAATACAAACCAAAACAATCAACCACATGTTAAACAAAATAAATTAGCTTTATACTTCAAACCATATAGATAAAAGAGGACATTGACCTCCTAGATCTGGAACAGG